CAAACTCAGAGTTATCGCAGACACTAGTTGCGCGTTTGGTGGCGCTGTTTCTTGTGCAGGACGATTTGGACAATGTTGCGCTACTAGGAATAAACTACGTGTTAAGGAGAACCTGCCATATCATCGCTTTCCGGATTTGATCTGCTCACACACCTGTTAAAGGGGTCAAAAAGTTGCGCGTTAGCTCAGAGAGAACTCAGAGTTAACTCTGAGTTATAACTCTGAGTTTCGATAGGTTTACTACCGACCCTGATTATTAGAAGGTCGGAATTCGGATTTTTGTAATTTTTCCGCTCTCAGCGTCTTACACTTGCCCATTCAGTCACTGCCCAAATGGGTAGAGAAGTCGCCATAGTGCAGCCGTTGAAAGAAAGGCTAGGCAAATATTCCTCCTAGGTCTCGTTATCTGCGGCTATCCATTATAGTTGAAACGACCGAAAAATTTCGTCGAACGAATGAATATCGAATAATCGGCTTATAAAACATATTCGAACGAACGAATATTACTCGATCTGTGATTTTCAGATTATTCGAATTCGAATATTCGAATAATGCTGCATTTCAAAATTCGAATGAAGGAATATTCGAATAAGTGGGGTTGGTCGAATATTCGACTATTCGAATAATCGAATTAATCAACTAAATTATTCGAACAGAATATTCGGTTCTAACTATACTATCCATTATGTTGATCACAGTGGCGGACAAGCTCCCCCCCCCTCCTCACCACTCCCCGAGAATCGGTCCCGAAATTTCTGGAAGTTACTTACATGAGTTATAAAGAAGTGCAAGTAACTTGTTCATACTTGTAAATAATTAGGATAATTTTTAAAAAATTCTGAAACGATCGCCTTGTGTCGTCAAACCCCTTTTCTGTATTGGTGTTGTAGAACCGCAAAAATCTAAAAAGCATCCCAAAACCAATTTCGGAGTACGCAACTGACGCCACGCACTTCATTCCTTCACTCGAAAAAACTGGTGTCCCCCCCCCCTCATCGGACTGAAATCCTGCGACCGCCGATCGGGCAAAATCCGTCTTGCAAAAACTGCAGAAACGAGCATTTCCCAGCCCTTAAACTTGAATATGGACGAGTGAGCGAGTCTTTGGGACCGCCGTAGCCATAGACTGTGGCCTGCAACCAGGGTCAAGAGTGTTGATGCGATCCTAGACCCTCCTCTACGACCCCCCCCCCTTGAAGGTGTACCTATCCGTAGAGCCCCTATCTCACCTACCCCCCCCCCCCTCCCCTTCCCACCTATCCCTCTCAATTTCTTTTGCGGTAACCTGCATGAAAATGTCAATCTCAAAAGATGCCTGACAATGGACCTCAATCAAAATTATAGATCAGTAGATAACTACTTACAAATTGGGAATTGATGCAAGTAGAGCTTCGCCATTCAAAAACCAACTCACAAATAATTCTGCGTAGATTGGGTAAGTAGTAAGATTCCACGAAGATTTGGCTATGCTTATTGTGGTTGGGAAAATAGGAATGGAAAGGACCTATCTGACAAAGCAGAACATCGCTTCCGATCTGAATGATAATTAAGCTTTACTTTAAGAATTACAAATTATTGACGGTCACCGTTGGTAAAGACATGGGATTTTGTCAAGTGTGTGAGACTTCAGCGGGGCTTCGGAAACAGAATTTCTGAGCCAAGGGGTCGTGCAACATCTTTGGCACGCATACACATTTTTAAGACTGTTTGGGTTTCTGCAAGTTTTTTTTTGAATTTTCAAGCATACTTCTAGCCAGCAAATTCGGTCCCCGTATGCGACACCATTTTTCTGAAGGGAGAAAAAAAAAACAATATCATTGAAGCGTAAAGTATGTTTTAGACTAAAATGCTTACTTGCTACCTTCTGCAAAACTGTTTTAGCGCCATCCAGAACGATATTAAAAACGTGCACGAGCACGGTAATTTGAAAATTCGTAACTAAAGGCAGGAAAAGACTGAGAGGCTGCAATGAACATGCTTTGTAGTGTAATGCCCACACTATCCATGGAAAAAGTTTCAGCCATTGAGGAATAATAAGCTCGAAAAAATCTAAATGCGACTCTCGTAAATTTAGATGCGATAAAAAGCAAAAATTGAGATTTTTGAGCTTGAAATTTTGTATCTCACCGGAGAAGTTATGAAACAGCCTGAAATTCTTATGAAAAAAAAGTAGAGGGATGGCCTCGCATTGCCAGCTAGTTTGCAGCTAACAAGCTTCAATAGCTCCGGAGAAATTGAGATGAGGCGCAGATACGACCCCCTTTCCTCATTTTTTGCTACCATACATAAAATCATAAGAAAATCCACAGTTGACAAAATAACACCAAATTTTTCACTGATATAGCAGAGTTTCTCCAAAGTACAGATAAATCATATGGGCCCGAGAATTACAAAGGGATTTAGAAATTTATGATGGTCAGTCACAGCTGGTAACGATATCCGCTTTTGTCGAGTGTGTGAGACTTCAGGAAGGCTTCAGAAGCAAGATTTCTAGGACATCGGTACATTTAGCATTTTTATCAAATCGTACATCCTTCAAAAGTATTTTGAGCTCTTGTAAATGTTTTTTTTGAGAATTTCTACAGGTCTTTTTATCTTTTTTATTCTGGTTTTCACTTTTTTACAGATTTATTGTAAAGAACACAACTAATTATCTGCTTTTTGATTCCCTTTTAACCTTAGGGTATTTTAGCCTAACTACCTCCTCTTATGCCCCCGCCCACCTTAGGTACCCTCTTTACGACCCCCCCCCCCCGTTGCGACAGTCGCTTCACAAGCTTGACCCTGCCTGCAACTCCAACGGCGTAGAGGAACGAGCACCTCACTTAGGCACCGCCTCCACGGGCTGCTGATCCTTTCGTCCTACTGTTGCAAATCGTCTAAGACCAGCGGTCTGCGAAGGCGGTGCCTAATTGGGGTGGGGTAGGGGACAATATATAGGCGGCGTATTCTTGCAATCTAGAGCGGGATTGGTCGTGATTAGAGACACCGTATTCATCTCGACGGTGACTGGATTACTAGCTCCAGCGGCCACTTTTACGACCTCCCAATCAATTCACGTCTGGAAAAACGGGTTATTGATATCTTTTGAAGCTGCGAAGCACAGTCTTGGACTTAGCTCATCCAGGGAAACCGAGAACGATGAATATCCCAAAGTTGTCATTGTGCCGAGTCGCTGCCTTCAAATTCGCGCATACTGTTCGGGATCAGAGTTTAGCACAGCGCTCAAGCTGTGCCCAAACTATGCTGCAGGCGCTGTGGCCGCCCGCATGCGGTTTTATGAGGCGGAAAACAGCAGTTTTCAAGTGTTTCCTACCATTTTCATTGTGAAATGTGCTCGTGTTTGTCTCAGTCTGCACCTTGCTTGCTCTTGTGATAAAAGAAGTCACATGGAGCGGAGTTCGAGAGTGAAGCTATTCCGTTTTGTGCATTACCTGACAATCATTCAAACCAAAACCGCATTGCTCCGAATTTAGAATTTTTTCATCAAAAACGGAACAATAAACAAGAACGAAGCGGTATGACTTGTGAAGAAAATGGGGGTTGAAACGCCCAACCCATTCTCATTGAAAGACGAGGGACTGAGGCACAGCCCATTATTATTGCGAGGGAAAGTTCACTGTTTCCGCTATCGTAACAATCGTAGCAGTTCTGTCTGAAGGCATGCTGTATCGAGGACGCAGCGAGTTTCCGAAATACAAGAAGGGTTGACAAAAAATTAAGGAGAAGGTAAGAGAGACACATCTTTGAAGGCAGTGTGCGGGCAAAAAGTCGATATTGAGATTTTGTGCTTACCCGGGCCTATTTGCTATGTAGAATCCGAAGATCAACACTGGAGAGCGCGAAAACGGCGAAAAAATCTCTAACGCAGGAGGAGAATCAGAAGTGGGCGTGGTCTTCCCCACAGTAAATTCACGGTCCTAGCTCCCGGAGCGATTCTCGGTTCTAATTTCGAGTCACGCATTCGCAGTTGGGTTGTAGAGATGTCAGAGAGCGGCTAGCGGAATTGAGAAGCTCGCTCCAGAAGCCGGGACCGTGAATTCACAGTGGGGAAGATCCCGCCTACTTCCGATTTCCTTCCTGCGTTGGAGCACGTTTTCGGCGTTTTAGCTCTTCTCGCTTCCGATTTTAAGTCAATCATTCGCACTTGGCCGGTAGCGATATTAGGACGGCTAGCGGAATCGAGAGACCGCTCCGGAAGCTGGGAGCATGAATTTTCAGTGGGGAGGACCCCGCCCTTCTTTGCCCTTTTCGCGCTTTCCATTGTGAATTCCGGATTCAGCATGGCGAATAAGCCCGTATAAGCACATCTCAAAATCGAGTTTTTGCTCGGACACAGCCTTTAACGCAACACGCGTCACGAAACCATTCATTCTCGAACCTCCCTCCACGAGGGTACAAGCTCCAATAATGAAACGAAAACGAGCAAAATTACAATCAAAAATTGCTACTTCCCGCCGCTCACAAGCATGCGGGCGGCTCCAGCGCATGCAGCACAGTTTCGGCAAAGTTCGCATCGATGGGACTGTGCCGGAACTTCCGGACCATTACAAACCCAGCCTAAATGACGCTCAGGTCCGCTCGATTTGGAGCAAACTAATGCGGCTTCTACACGCGTGAGTAGTGTGATAAGCTGGGGCACCCTATGGTGTGGTTTGCAAAAAAAAGCAGCTCATACACCGCGAAATAGAATAGGTGAGTTACTTAACTATCATTCAGAATCATAACAAAAAGTACAAACGACCAGACGATATCTAAAGCAAGAGAGATTTTAGTGAAGCCACGATGTCTCGGATCTTGATATAGTCATCTTAAACTAAATTAGAAAAAATACAGCTGTGGATAATCGGCAACAGCAGAGTAACATGATATTCAAAAAAAAAGAACAGCTCACTTTATGCTGTACAAGAAACTCAAGAAAAAGGCGCATTGTGCGAATACCTTGCACCTGCGCTGCCACGTTCGACTGTCCAAAGGTTTTTTTAGCAAAGATGTCTCACTTGTATCTGCTGATGTTACTGCATCCAGATGAGGTCTTTTTGAAACATCTTCTTCGGGACCCATACATGGCCGTTTGAGCGAAGGACCTGGTGAATTTCGCGTTTCCTCACCGCATACGGTCGTGCAAGTCAATTGTTCAACCATAATTTCTGGTCAAGTGATTGACTCTCACGTCGGGAGTCTAAATTTCATGCACGAAAGATGACTCTATTCAAAGTTATAATAGTAAAATTTATTACGCAGAATTACTCAGGTTGGTAAAAACCAAATGTGCATAGTATACATCAGAGAAATGCATCTCAGTTTTATCACAATAAAATTGGTGCACACAGAAAGGACAAATGTTGAGAAATATGTGATCAAAGCAGAAGAAAGAAACTAATGAAGTGAAGGCAAAATCAGATTTGAACCAGAATTCGTCAACAGTACCACAACTTGGAGACCAGAGAACTAAATCACAAGTGCACGGGATTGCTTCCCGCTAAGCGGATTGAAAGCGAAAACACTCAACACGTTATTAGGCATTACTTGACTAGCTGACTATATGGACAAATGTTCAAGGTGGGTGGCTAATTCTGCATCAGAAGTCATGCACTGTAAAGAGATTCACAAAAGTTAAATCACAAGAGAACCAGCACCGAGAGATGTCTAGATCCAGTATGATAAAGCCGTAGGATCTCGCATGGCAACTGGCAAGCTATTCACATCAGCTGATGATGGGAACCCGTGGAGATCAGAAGAGATCTAGAGGAAGGAACACTTTGCGACAGGCGCGCTGCACAAGTGTTGGTGGCCTGTCCTGCTGCGGCATGATGCACATGATGCGCGGTGGCAGCTTGCTGTGCTCTTCAGCATACTGCACGTCGAGACTGTCTCGCACCAGATTTCGACCAAACATATCCAAGCTTGCAAACAGAATATCCCTGAACAAGTACATGCGAGCAAAATCTCCAAGATTTTGAGCAGACAACGCCATGGTTTCCGTGCTGATTAAACGCAGTGTCCAGGCAAATCTGGGCACATGGGTTCTTCGTCTAAAAAATGATGAGGGAGTCCTAACTAAGCAACAGTGCAAATAATTCATTCACGACTGGGGAATCCGTCCCCAAAGCTTCTGCGCCTGCGCCGTGACCGAAACTCGCGAGTGTAGGATGAGCACTAGCGCGAGCGTGTGTCAATGTAAGCGAGGCCACTTCCGTACGATCACTGCGCATTGCGGAGGGTGTTCTCAGTCATGAATGAATCATTTGCGCTGCTGCTTGGGCAGTGCCTTAGTTAGGACATCAGTGGCGAGAACCCATGTGCCCGATTTGCCTGGTGCCTTCAAAGACAATGCGTTATAATGTTACCTTGCATGAATCAATAGCCAAGAAATCAAATCGACTGTCTGTTTACAAGAAAGGTTTTCACCCTACATTAGGCTAGCATCAAAATTCATGTTGCGCTGGACAAGCAATGATGATCAAAAAGATAATCCGAAAAACTTCATATGTTAAATAAGGAAAAAGAATAAAAATTGAGTTACCTGAACACAGGAAAATGTGGCCCCAGCGCAATCTGTCCATTATCCGTAACTCTCCGACTATCGTTGATGAGAGTTTGTATGGCTGTGAACAGCTTGTTTTCTTGTACGGATTGGGTTACTATCCGCCAAACTTTCAAAGAGCGATCTGTGATCTTATCCTCAGGTACGAACTGGAATATGTGAAGCTGGAAATGTTCAGAGCAAACTATAACGAGAAACAAAGCTAACCTTATGATTGGGATTTACAAGATACAAAGGCATAGGTATGGAGTGGTCTAAGGGTCGGTCATACACGCATCTCACATGATTACGAGGAGAAATCCATCTGAAAGGGATTGTGGCTGACAAGTAGCATATTTGTTTCATTTCAAAGAACACGCAATGCGTTGTGATGGTTTTGAATAGAAACGATTACTTATTGTCAAAAAAGTCACTCTCTTGCCGAAAAAGATGCGTCTCATCTCCAAGTGTTCCCCTAACGCGCGGCATGTACTAGAACCTGCATGCAAAACGCACAGATCGTACTTGGTCAAAAACGTAAAATACCCAACGAATTCTGTCTGCAGAGTCAATCTTGGTAAACATCTCAAAGAGATGCACTCCATGAAAAAATTCTGAGATAATCAGTACATTACACTCACGTGTACAGATGAGTAGGTAAAGAAAGTCGTCGTAGATAGTAGACAAGGTTCCAGAACACAATTGGGTGTGTGCTCATGATTTTTGGATCCTATAAGCAACGAGAAATATTTTCAAAAATTATTGGACCGTACAAATTTCAAGTACCTTCAAGGCATACAGATCATTAGCCAAAAGAGTTTCGACTTCCCGACGAAGCACAAGAGGACTGACGAAAGAAACGGACAAATCTTGACTTGCCAACTCCGACTCGCTGTTCTGCAATTCAAGGACCTTCCCATCAAATATAGCAACGATTTAAAGTGATACTTACGTCGAGGTCTCCTTCAAGACAACTAGGGCTGTACCAGCTCGATAAAGGTTGATCGCGTAAATCAAGGTGTACGGTCAATCTCGGAGCAAATACCTGGAATATTACCGGCTTAGAAAATCAGAAGTCATCATTTTTGCAGAACTTGCAATTTGTGTAAACAGTTAAGAAAAGAGAGAGCAGCCTATGAAAAACTCTCCGCACCACCAAACTCTACATCAACCTAGAAAGCAGACCAAGAGAAAAAAACGCACTCCTTTTCTTTCGGGATCGTGGGACGTTTCTTCTGCAGAACAACAATACGGACAGATGGTATTCAAATTCTGGTCGTCAACCTGAAAATACACTGGCAAACTTCATGATATAGTGATGAATAACTGAAAATCATAAGGTAAGTGAAATTCATATATGCGCTCTGAAACATGGCAAAACCCCATCCCAAAATGAGCAGGGGAGCTTTTCCAAATTGTCAAAGGAGAGGGCGAACAGAGTGTGGGCGGTCTATAAATCTCGCACTCCTGCTCAAGCAGTATCTTTGATTTACCTGACTACACGCTTCTCCCCAGATATTAGATATCTAAACGGCTGGATCGGAGTGTCGAATTCGTGGATAAAAACAGATTATACAAGAGACCTGTGAAGGTAGCCATTCTCGCTCAAAAGTAAAAGACAGCGACTAGTTGTCTTAAACGTAGAGTTACATTACCGCTTGAGAGTGTTCTAAAGAATGAGGTGATAGGGATACCAAAAGACAACCTCCTCCCCAGTAAAGGAATAAATAGTACCATATGGCAAATTTAAATCGAACTCTATTGACATGCCTCAAAAAACTGAGAATCTTTCAACCAGCTGATTTCTGAAAAACAAAAAACTGAAAACCGACCTTCCAGCCAGACATAATCTCCTCATCGTATATCATCGTTCGACAAGTCGGGCAGGCCGTGCATGATGAAAGAGTGACGTCAACAAATTTTGATCCCGAATAGGTATGTGTTTTCTCATCTGTTTCGCCTTTGCGCATCTCGTTACGACGCAATTGTAGGTAAACCTTGAAAGCAACTTATTTACAATGATCCAATGATACATATGTTGGATAATCCTACCTCTTTCAACCACCATTCGTCGCTAAGAATGGAATCAGCTTTACCGCAGTCGAGCTGATATGCAGGATCATCTTTGTTTAAGTCAACACTTTCATCATCCTGCAAATGATTCTCAAATTCTTACTTGTTGATACGAAATGAACATACGCGGAATAACTCATGAAACAGTGGCTTACAGAATCATCGCCAAATAGAGTCCCACTTCCGCGTTCGCGATATGACCGATTTAAGCTTTTGACTTCACGCACCAACGAAGACACACCTAGTTTTAGTTTGGAGGACATAGCTAAAAAGCAAGCTCTAATCAATTAACTTAACGCTATAACGTTAACATACCGTCCATACGGACATCATCGTACCCTTTCCAAACCTGATTTACCAGTGAGTGTAGACTTGGACTCATTGTAAGGCCTTGATCATTTTCCGCAGCTTTTTCGTTTTCTAAATAAAATGATGAGGTAATCTTGAGTAGATGAGAAGGTAGCCAAGTTGACAGCTACAGGTAATGATACTTTCGTTGATTATCGCTCATGCGTTTGAAAACAAAAATGAGAAGCGAATCGAAGTAACAGTGACCATACTACCAAACAATAATCTTAACGAACCAAATGTCTGACTGCGTATCATCTTCAATATGGGGCTGTTTGTCAGTCCTTTTAGCCATCCCAAAGACTTATTTGGAGTCTGAAAAAACGTGCTGGCAATTATTTTCACAGCAGAGGCTAGATAATAAGTGCAGTACAAAAGATAGCTCACAAACACATGAAACTGAGGATTCACTGAATGATCTATGATCTAGCAAGCATGCAAAGCTAAGCTAACCGCTTTTACTTTATTTTCCGCTTTGGGATTGAGCTCATCCGCAAATGGAGTCGACTGCAGCTCTGCCATAAACTTCGCTCTGCTTGGGCTCATTGGCAGTTGATTGGATGGGGCCTACAATGTACTCATGACAATATACCTAAGCCTATGACTATCAAATCACCTTAGGCGTTTCACATGATGCTAAAGCTCCTAAAGGATCTAGTGGATTCTTGCCCACAGAGTCTTCCTAAATGGTAAAAAGAAATTAGAGATTTGCCAAAATGTTTCAAATCTCTAGGAATTCACATCATTCGCAGGACACAGAGGATCCTTTTCGCTGTCTTGGAGAGACTGATACGAGATAACGTATGGCTTGGTCTCCAATTCCAAAGCCTCCTGAGGACACATACGACAGATGCAAATATCAGTGAATACGAGCAACGAAATTTGAAACAGTTCGAAAATTTTTCGCTCACAATTCTTTTCTCCTCCGCTGTTTTATCGCTGTGATATCCACCATCACTTACGGAGTACGAATCCGTTGTAGGACAGATGTTGCGAGTCTCCGTACGTATGAATGCTTTCAGTCTCACCAATGCATGTACAAATAGCCTAAACGAGGATTTTCCATACAGAAATTGTCAAGATGAATCATCGCTGTCTACAGAAATGCCTCACACCGCTTTTCTGCTTAGTATTTTCAAACATGACTCATGTTAGCAAGATTCGGGAAAATTCGATGGAGACAACAATCCGAGAACAGTGAATCATGGTCAAACTTTCTTTTGAAGTCTTTTTAAGCCATTACCGACGACGCCTAATTTTGCGTGGCGGCGCGGTGGGACGACACGATTTCGCACAACACTTTAACCCATTACCGACGACGCCTAATTTTGCGTGGCGGCGCGGTGGGACGACACGATTTCGCACAACACCTTGGTTGTGGGAAGGTTTTGTGGTTGTTTACGAAATGCAAGGTTGTTTTGTAAATAACTATAGGCATTTTCTTGGACGCACATACGAATGTTGAAGGTGCACAGAACGTGCGTGAAATTCGCTTGCGCATGCCAAAAACTTCCGTAATCTGAGAAGACAGAGCTAGTAGAAGACCGTCTATCAAAATACTGTGGCGCAGACCAGAATGGGTAAGCTCTCGGGTTTTGATTTTTTACTTAAGAACCAGATGTCTCAAAAGCAGTAAATACCATCCATATTACACAAATCTATTGGCCCTATCAGCAAAACGCCGCGACAGCACGAGATTTTTCGTGGTAAATGAAATTTGGCAGTCCTTGTAATAGCAGCTACAGCCTGTTGACAGGAAGCGCATACAGGGCACAAGTGTGCTTATTAAGAGATGTAACATCATTTGCTTTGTTGCAGTAGTTGAGCCTTGAAAGAAATTACGAGGAAATTCTCAAATGAAGCTTGAATCTGCAGGTGAGCGCCCCCTTTCAATCTGACTCCGCTCTAACACCAGCAACTACCTGAGCTGCGCCCAAGCTTCGATTGCTTTTTGCCTTGCAGGTGTCGGCCATTTTGCGTCCAATACAGCACGATGATAAATCCCGTAAGTTACAGCATTTTGCTCAACACCAGCGCGATGCATTGCCTAAAAAAAGCAATTAAGGGGAAACACATGACACTCATCCCAACACAATGATTTATATCAGCACACAATCCAAACAAAAACCGTCATCGGAGATAGTCAGACTTCCTTAAAAAGTGCTCTTTGAATTTTTTAATGATCTTTTATAGCTATAATGATAGAATCATAGAACTAGTTTCGCAGCAAAAGATGAACTTTAAAGAAGGATTCCCAGAAAACTTTCGAATTTATTACTTAATAAGCTGCCTAAGATACTTTTGAAAGTTCAAACAGTAATCAGTTCAAAGTCACCACTTGCACATTCAATCATTACTAGCTTTTTAATAATTCTTGCAGCTGTTAAGCTATAAAAGAACCAAACATTTTTTTGCAGAGTAAAGAACTAACCTGTAAGACTTTGACTGCCAGCGAAGGCTCACCACATTCCCCACAAAGTTCGATTAATATTCGATAACAAACTTGGTCCAGCGGGAAAACTTCGGTATGCTCCATGCGATCCAAGATCTTCAACAATCTAACATCTACACTCTTTAAGCAAACAAGGTGTTTCCTACCAAACATTATCCCATAAAACATGTAAATTACGTGCTGGGGACACTACAGTATTTTTGCTATGCGGAGAAAATCATGTCGTTATACACGTAATTTGCGCCATTATCCCAGATAAAAGTACGCGAATTAGTGCTGTTACTGATAATATCTCCGAAAAACCCTTGAAAATAGCTGCAAAAATTATGGTTTGCCTTTTCTTATGAAAATTTAGAGCGCTGTAGGAAAAGTCCCACACAGATATAGTACTTTCAAATTGATGAAAAGATGAGCTAACATGAAAAGCGAGAAGAAGAATTTTCTTCTTGTTCGGAGCGATAGTGACGAGACTGGGAAGTTGCATAAACCATAAAGAGTAAGCGTAGAAGAGCAGCGTTTTCGGCCAATGCAAAGGATTCGTCCGCACAGAGTTAGTCGCAGCAAGCATCGATGACCTGACTTCAGGCTTGGTCCTTACCGCAGCGCAACGATTATACTCTAAATAGGGATAGAATGTGTAATTGAATCGAATCTAATTGGGACTACCATATTGCAGCGGAACGGATTGTTGATCTGCTCGGTTCATGCTCAAATGGTCCAGCTGGAACAACGTAGGGTCAAGCTTCCTCGGAAAACGATCGTATTTGAATTCACGTTCGAGACCCGTTTTTGGATCAACAATTGGTTCAGGTGGTGCGATGAATACCTGCAAACGTCGGATACAGCTGAAAAGAAAATAATCAACGCTAATCCTACTGATGTGTTGTTTAAATGTGCAGATCCATCCAGTTCTAGCAAAGACACGTCTCCGCTTTCTGAAAATGCTTTGACTTGCAACATCTCTGAGGAGATCATCAAACTGACCACTTCCGTCTACTTTCGCGATGCAGTCATCAAAGAAGGCATTGTAAGTGTTCTTATCAGAAACAAAACTTCTTTCTTCAATGAAGCGAATGAAAGATTGGGTTGCGCAGAATCTGACAAAGAAATCGAAATAACGACAAGAGAAACATGTCAAGTTAGTGCTACGTAACGTAACTTGATTCTGTGGCCAAAAAAACATACCTCTTGAAAAACTCAACGCCGGACTTATCCCTAGATTTCAGGAAACCATCGAGATCGAAAAGATTGCCGGTGTCAGTTGCATTCACGCAAGAAGGAGCGCTTTTTATAGGTTTGAGAAACGACTGATATCCTCGCATCAAATTAGCCATAAACCTAAAGATAGCTCTCGCGATGTTCACAAACTCACGTGACATCAAAATGCACCATCAAACATGAACAAAGGCAGTTTAGTCACGATTATGTTGCTTCATTGCAGAAAAAATGCAAACTTGATGTAAACGCGCAGAAAAACATTATGTGAAAAATGCTAATCAGACCCATTACACTGCATCTATGCCATACGTGCAATGCAAAGTGCAAACTAACCTTAAAAATGCTTCATGAATTGCCATCTCAAGTTCTTTGCGCTTTTTCTGTATAACCATATCTCTGTCGACTGGAACGTAATCAGCTTTTTTGCTACCAAGATCAAAAGCTTCCTTGTTGAGTCTAAAATGATCCCAACATCCGATATCGAATATGAAACAAAGTACATATATAATGTTGTGGATGGAATGTGATAGATAAGATGCAGGGACAAACAAGCCCAACCTTCTCAATAAGTCGTCTAATGTCGCCTTCAACTGTTTCGTTGGTCTTTTCGGCAGGATAGAAAGCTTCAAAGTCAGGCGGTTCGAGGACTGACTTATTGTAGCGGTATCCAGATCAAAACACGTCACATCAACAGGTGGGTCTTCATACAGATCAAAGTATCTGAGTGGATGTAAGTTTCAAATTGTTACGTCCTGTGATAAAACTCGTCTCTAATCATACCTGGAGTCCACGCCAGCGATGAAAGGTAGCGGGGCATGTAATACACCAGCAAGCCCAAGGGGACATTGCGGAACATATGGGCACTGCCAGTGGAACGGAAACATCAAAGCACAAACACTTTCAGCTGCAGCTGTTAGCATCCATGACCTGGAAAAGTAACGAAGACAAAAAATGCTTTCAAAATACAATGTCAGGAAAAATGATAGTCAAACCTCAGCGAATGTACGAGTATCTTCTGTTCCAACAAAGCGAGCATCATTAGATAAATGAGATTATCAGTACCAAGGGCTCTCAACGTATCACAAAGCTGAGCACCTAAACTCCCATATAGCAGAAAATTTATGCCGGAAATGATTCAAAATTTACGCTACTGTCTCTATCGACCGCTCATGCTAATGTCAATAAGACTGCAAACTTTTTGTTAGAATGGACCACGGGACATTGATAAAACGGTCATCCACCCTTACAATTACTATTAAACGGAAGATGGAAATTTTAGAAGAAGCTGTAATACAAGACATCTTGGTTACCACATCGATGCGATAAAGAGCGATGAGATAAACAAAACATATAAAACAGCTTACCATTCAAAGGCAGCTGACTGTCGTCATACGAGTCAAAACTTATAGTCTCTGAGCCAAGCTGCATAAGCACATGGGGCCGGCGAGGGGTAGGAAACGATACCTCGTACATCTGAATTGAAAAATGTAGTGATGAAGCCATTTGCAACACCCTCAATGGATACAAACTAACCAGATGTGATATATAACGCTCTATAGGTACAGCATATATACCTCCGCCCGTTGATATTCTATGTATATAGTAAAGAAATCGTTTGAAAGAATTGAAGAACGGATATCGTGAGATAATGCATATGGCGACATTAGTATAGAAAGTCATCTGGAAACAGCGATGGGTAAAGATGGTAATCAGGATCAAACCCGTACCTCGTCTGCAGGGTCGTTGTTGCTGGAATTATCTTCCACAGCACCAGCTTCGTCAACGCGACCTGTCGAATTCAGCTCTAACTGCTCCAGTTGCTCCTCGGTCAACTTCTCAGGATATTTTTCGAAAAATGATACTGATGCTCCGTAAAATTTGGTGCCGTTCTAGAAAGGTGGATTTTCATAATTCTTCTACATTTTTTGGAGCAAAAAAACCTCATCAGTCAGGACAAACGTAGAAAACACTCTGTCAGGCGGCTGACACTTGACTGGCCAACATTCGATCAAAGCTCCCATCGGAAGGCAGAACAGAGCTATATTTTGAGCTAGCTTGAAGTCTTCACCTCCATTTTCACTGGGTTTCCCTTTGGGAAAGTAATCGAGAACCTGAAAACAACGTCATTTTTTTTACAGAACCAAATGTGATACTAAAAAATCACCGTTGGTTTGTAGGCAAGCCGCTTCGTGGAACATTGGGACTTTTTATAGCATATGTAAACATCAGACCCCACCATGCCCTGGATCAGAAAATTAGAAGCTCGAACAACTGAAGGCATATTTACCTTGTTGAGGTTTTTCGGTATTTTGTAATATGTGTGCAGAGGAATTTCTCCTTTGTTCGCAAGTATAACACAGATATCGGTAACAACGAATTGGCTAGGTGCACTGCTCGGAACTGCTCTTCGATAGGTTAAAAATATATTCTGCAATGAGTTCACCAAGCTTAAGAAGAGCATAGAGACGAAGTACCAAAAGAAAATTTTTAAGGCATGAAAACTAGGCAATACGCAACATATACTTATAGATAACGTGAACTTTTTCACGCTAGAACTTGATAAAGGATATTAAAAAAAAACACGGCAGGTTATGAATTAGCAGAACGAAGCATATACTTACCTGTGAAGCATTGTTTACATTAGCTGGCCTTCCAAAAGGTGTTGTCTGTACAATATTGGTGTCCACCATTGGTTTTTCGCCTCGTCCTGTAAGAATGCACATTTCAATCGTTGCAAAGGAGCAAAGGCAGATTGAGTCGACTTACCATACTCAATTAGTCCAATATCAAGCAAAGGTGGTTTATGATACCCTCTACGATAACACAGAAAAACACTAGGCATTCGTATCGAACCATGGTTCAAATCTGCAGGATATCCTAATTGCGTAGTTTCTATAATTTCGTATCCTTCCGGTGCCTGTAATGTACAGAACACTCATTACAGAACTCAGAAAAGAAGTGTTACTAACCGTCTCTCCGAGACTTGGAAAAATTACGCATATGTCCGTGATAGGAGCTAATGGTGTGCTATTTCGATAGCCGAACTCTTGAGTAGATGGTGTGGCCTGTTCCGGGGAATCCTGAAATCCTACGCCTGCAAACGTGAAAAAATGTTTGAGGCAGACACATGATCTGTTATGAGTATAGCTCAAAACAATGTAGATTTCTCAGATTATCTAGAGGACCAGAATCGAAGAGTTTCTCAACTTGAACTGATTAGCTGCTTATCAAACAAACTCAGACTTGATCTCATTTCGGAAGCTTATCCCCTAAACCTTTCTATATCAGTAAATCCATTATGTCTTCATCTCAAATCATGCTCATAACGGAGAAGGCCAAGACCTTGTTCTTCTGAGTTGAACTTTACCGGCCTTTCTTTCAATGAAAATTATAACAGTACCTGTGAAAGTCCTGCGATGACAAAATGCTCGAAGAGGCGTCGATCATCGTCTCGAGACGACATATTAGTCAATTAACTGCAAAGAAACTAACAAAAGAGAACTTGCTAAGCGGAAGTTCAGTCATGCAGCGGCGAGGGACCGTAGATTCGCCCGCAGGAACGATTACTTTTGGATTGGAGCAGGAATCCTCCGTAGAGCACCTTATCCTTCCAACGCTGATTTTGAAGATGCGCTTACCAAATAACTCAATGTTGCGTCTTGCAACTCTACTACTGCAACTCTAATCTCCGTAGCTTGCCGAGCCACTTTCTTCCGGCGTCCAGGCGAATCTGGACAAATGGGTATCGCCAGCGGAAACTGATTTTGGGAAACCGCGCAGAGTTACAGCATAAGATGAGTTCCTCAAGCTCTAGGTCTCCATTACTATCAGCATCAAGTACAAAATTCCTTACTAATGCGATTTGAATTTGTACATAAAAGTTTAATTTGCTTTTTCCTTTTTTCTTTAGTAAATATCACTTTTTCGATCTGGACAACCGTCTCCTTTCAGCTTCATTGAATGCCTTGACTATTGGGGAGTCTACCTATAAGCGAAATTCTTGCAAAAAAGGTGGCACTAGGAAACTACGATACCAGCTTCTTAACATCGTAGTTTGTCTCTGATTGTGAATGTTGCGCCCTGATCAGCGGTTGATCGTCGTCTTCTTGCTGTGACTTCTCGAGAGCTGGCAAGATTTATTCTTTTGTGCTTTTGTCAAAGTCTTTCAGCTCCGTAAAATTTGTACAGCCCTCTTCAAGAAGACATGAAGGCAAGAGAGTTATTAACGATCATACAGTGTGCACAGTATTTGGGATGCGCTGTAGATTTTTATCACCGTACATCATGCTGCTTGGACCTGAAAGGCTAATTCAAGTATCAGATGCACAGAACTTTCTCCTTTTCACTGAAAATTTTTTACTTTTTGCATCATCCAGGCGAATTTGCCTTATACAAATATACATACAAATATACTTGAGAAAAAGTCAGACTTATGGTAATCTCGGCGAGTTTCTACTACGGTACGGTCACAGAAATGTGAGCGGGGAAAAGACCATCGAACTTCATTTTTCAAAGCTCGCCAAGAATATAATTTTGCAAAAGAATCTGAAATGCAGATGCTTAGGTTTTACGACTTAGTTTGTCGAAAATGTACGCACCATTAACCGAAACGTTTGCAATAAAAATTGCAAATGTCACCTTCAACAAACTTGAACCATGACTCCAGTTTTCATGTCAGCCCTTGCAATGTTTCAGATCTACAAGAACATGATAAAACGTCAATAGACTCATTCATACCTAATTTTTGGTACTTGGCACAAAATTGTTTCCTGAATCAGTGCTCTTCTCAAATCTGAAAATCTGCATTGTAAATTATTGGGTGACTTGAAATATGAGGATTGGGGCCATAATGCAAGTTTGTTGTATCAAGTGTGCCTTACACCAGAAGGAGAAGAGTTGATTCTACAACAGGCCTGAATGATTCAAGTAAATCTGAAATACTACAAAGCAAATCATGGCAGAGTTTGACTGTGAAATGTCCTCCTTTTCGGAGCAATAAAGCGCTGCGATGTATTTTTTATTCCTCATGCTTAGTGTTTATGCATTGAATTGCGATGCCCTTATGAAATCAATCTTTGTTCCACGTTTATCTGGCAGAGAGTTGATAATGCACACAACTTGCACAAATTTGTTGCCAATTCAAATATTCTCGGATAGATTTCTGTTGCCAAGCATGACATTTGAAGAAGTCCGCTAAAATGACAGACGCGGCAAGAGCGTCTGCAAAATAAGTGTTAGCCGTAAAGTGGCAAACATTTCGATGACTTTGTTTGTGTAGAACATGCGAGCGCAAAAACCTCGATGCAACCTCGTCACCGCCTTGTTATATGAAAACCGAATGAGACGGGACCATCAAGATGCAACTGGGTCAAAATGTTGACCGGGGCTGAGTTTGCTGTAGACTACTTTTGACAGTGACCTCTAGCCAGTTGCTCTTTCCACCTCTAGTAAACTTGACAATAAAGATTACAATAACTCTGACGCACTACACCTCACTTGAGAAACTCTAGCTAAGCTACTGAGCTAACATAGACTAAACTGGTACTGGAAAAGGGAGTTCCGTCAAATTCATAACTGCATGTAGCAGAACGAGAGACGATTGAGCGCTCTAAACACAATTCCTGCTCCAATCCAAAAGTAATCGTTCCTGCGGGCGAATCTACGGTCCCTCTGCAGCGGCCTCGTTAGCTCCGCCCACGAAAGCTCGTATTTTTCTGCACAAGTCCCTTTAAAGAATAGAGCGCGGAATCTTGACTGCAAGCGAAAAACATTCTAAAGGGAAAATCACAACCAGGCTCGAGCAAAAGGTGTGGACTACGTTGTAACGAACGGAAATTTTCATCGAATGAACGAATAACGAATGACTGAATTCGGAAAATTTTCGGACGAATGAAAGTCGAATGATTGATTTTAGAAAATTTTCCGAATAAACGAAGATTATTGAGTTCCGATTTCTAGATTATTTGAATTCGAAAATTCAAATATGGGCACATTCCCAAGTTCGAATTTTCAAAATTCGAATAACCTTGATCGAATATTCGACTATTCGAACAACGGTTTTGAACTTCTCGAATTATCGAACATTCGAGGAAATTGACAGTTAACTTTCTTTCAAATTTCCTCGAATAATCGATTATTCGTAAAATTATTCTTCCGCATCGTCGAATGAACGAATTATTCGAATAAAGCCCTTTTTCATCAATTCGACTATTCGAATAATGGAATAGTCGGAAGTCTTTCTCGAATATTTCTCAAATAAATTTCTCGAATATAACTTCCTTTGTTTCATATGGGACTATTCAAATGTTCGAATAGTCGAATATTTCGAAAAAATTATTCGACGAATATCCGATTACAAATAGCGTCACGACTGCTGGATAAGACCTCCTCCATTGCTGAGTGTCTCAAGAGATCCCCCCCCCCCCCCGCCCCCACCCAGCATCAACGTCTATCCACAGTAGACATAAATTGAGGCAATCGTAATGGGTATATAACGTATTTCTTACTAACTAGCTGGCATATCCGGCTCCACCCGGTCCTGTCAAAACAGTAAGCTAAAACTCACCATTCCTATTCCTGTACAACTTTTCCCTGTGCCCACTTCTACATGCCAATTCCCTGTTCCCGTTTGGTTTTTATAGTTGACTGCAGGGAATCGCCCGCACACAGCATCCGCGAGCGTGTCTCTTGCGCGCAAGATAGGACGCCGCTCGTAGTCACAACGGTACGCCGCTGGTACGCTAAGCGCAGAACGTGGAACGCGGCTGGTACGCCAAGCCATTTAGGTAGGTGTCAGAGTAAGCGAATATTTTGTTCAGGTTGGGGTCCCGCGCAGAATTGACGTCACTTGGATTGACGCCAGTATGGTGAGAGGTAGGTGCCAGAGTAAGCGAATATTTTGTTCACGTTGGGGTCCCGCGCAGAATTGACGCACTTGGATTGACGCCAGCATGGTGAGAGACGTCAATTCTGCGCGGGACCCCAACCTGAACAAAATATTCGCTTACTCTGGCACCTACCAGAGACGTCAGTTCTGCGCGGGACCCCAACCTGAACAAAATATTCGCTTACTCTGGCACCTCTCAGACATTCGCAGTTAAGTCCCGCCGGTGAAAAAGTTGCGTCCCGCCGGAATGACTGCGGGACACAAGTAAAATGGTTCGCGAGAAAACCGAGACTCCCGGTTTTCGTTCGGGCTAATGCGGCGCGACATGCGGTTTTGTCCCGACATGTTTTCTACTGAGAAAACCGGGAGCTCCTGCGGGAGTCCCGATAGTGTCGCGATCCAGTCACCGGTGGGACTCCCGCTCATATACAAAAATCACTTAGAGCCACCGTACAGCAGCTTCGGAAACCAAGTCCCCGAGTTCAAAATTGAATAACAACAAGTCCTATTAAAGGTTGTCCGTTAGACAACATATTGATAGTGTTTTTGCCTGTAAGAATGGAAACACATCCAAGGTCGTGGACATTGAGGGTAGTCTGACCATGCGTCGTATTTCACGCAAGTGTCCCTTACGCTCAGACACTGGGAGCGCGCCCTGAGATCGCGACTCCCGGTTTTCTCCCGCTTCATTTTTTGTGTCGGGATTATCCCGATAGTTGGGACAAAACCGGGTGTCGCGCAAGACTCCCGCTCAGACAATCGCCGGGGGCAGGCGGGCACCGGAAAAATAGATGGCTGATTTCTCGCACCCCGCCCGCGGAATTTTTGGAAAGCAATCAGGACTTCTCGGAAGAGCGCTTGCTGAGTTCTCGATTCCTTAAAGGTTCAGCAATATATCTGCATAAGATAAGAGCGGAAAAAAATTCAGCAAGCGGTCTCTCAAAAACTCGCTATTTTCCTGGAATTTGCGAGCGGAATGCAAAATCTCAGCAATGCGTATTTTCCGGCGCCCGCCTGCCCCCGGCGATTATCTGAGCGGTTTTCTCGCGAATTCTCATTTTGTGGGCGGATCTCCGGCGGGACTTAACTGCGAATGTCTGAGCTATGTTAGGAACGCCACAGGTACGCAACGAATGTCAGAGCGGTCCAACATTGGCATTCGCGCGCATGAGTTATCATAGCGCCCGTACTCGGCCGCCGCGCTGCAGGCCGCTCGCGTGCGTTCAGCCTACAGCAACTCGGGCGATTTCGTGCAGACGACTTCATCAGCATGCTCCCTCCTCCTCCCCGCCCCCCCCCCCCACCCGTGCCAACTCTCAGCCCCGTAACTCAAACTTTGCAAAAAATCGTAAAAGTAACGGGTTATTCTGGAAAATAATGTTGTATCCGTAACCAGCATGCCCGATTCTCCCCTCCCTCCCGCGTAAACTTCCAGCTCGCAGCTCAAAATTTGCAAAAGGATCAATAATTCTGGAACTAATATTGTACTCGTAATCAGCATGCCCGATTCCCCCTCCCCCCATGTCAATCAGCCCCGTAGTTCATACTTTACAGAACTGCAAAAGCCGATATAACGGATATCGATCCAAACCAGAAGGTAGCCTACGACACCCGCCCCGCCCCGAACTGCATATGTGCAGAGTTCGTGGGACTTTTT